ATATGTATGTATATATATGTATATATATATATATATATATATAAACACAAACAAAAATGAAGCGATGGCATACGTTGACATAATAGACACATAACATTTATTCAAAACGAATATTTCTGACATGCCTGTGTCCCTTAGCGTTTACACGTATGAATGAGAAATACGGAACAGGTGAAAGTAAAAACTGTATATATGTGTATGTATGTATATTGTATATATGTATATTTGATGTACATTTTCTGACATAATTAAATTAGGAATCTGAAGAAGATGATCGAACATTCATCGTCCCTTGTCTAATGAGTATCGTTAAGGACAAGAACATGGAAGTTGAGAAAGACAAAAAGGAGATGGTATCAATCTACGTGACTCCAACAGACTTCCTCCCTGATGCTGTCTACAGTGTATTAGTCGTTGCCTTTGTCGACTTGATGAAGAAGAAAGGTAGAAGCGATGATGCAAAATTGTTTCGGAATCGTAGTGACTTTGACTTTGACGATGATCACCTAGTGAGTCTGGGAGCCGTCAAAATCAAGAACATGCATGCATTGAAGGTACGTCATCTATTGTGTGAAAATAATAATAAATGTCATTTTCCATTACTGCTATTGTTAATTTGTTTTTGTTATGAAATTATGTATATTTCTTAGAAATTAAAAGTAGGTTTTAGTATTCCATGCAACCTATTATCATTGTTGTTGTTGTTATAATAATCTTATTACTCTATTATTATTTTTTATAGATAATGAATTTCATCAGTCCAGTATTGTTTTTTTAAAGTATTATTATTATTATTCTTATTATTATTATTATTAATACGAATAATGTGCTACATTTTCTGAATTACGTTTTAAATTTGTAGCTTGAAATAACACATCGGATTGATGAGGATGCAAATGGTGAAAAAGTAATATTAGAACCGCACCCGAGTGTCTGTATGGAGGTAATCAATTGAATAACAGTATGTCAGTCTTATATAGCGCCTCATGCATAAAGCCTCTAAGCGCGTCACATTGCTACCCCTGTGATTGGATTGTAATATTGTTACATTCTAACTGTAATTAATCTTTGTTATGCTGTCCCACAATTCTTGTTAATCTTACAGGAAAAATTTGTAAAATACATGTATTCTTTATGATAATAATATAATTCTATAATAATATAAAATAATAACAATGATAATGATAATAATAATGATATAATGATTATAATAATGATACTGATGATAATGATGATATTTTGATGTGTGTTTGCGTCAGGAAAATATATAGTATTGACGATGATGACAAGACTAATGGCTTTAATTCATAGTCATATGCGGTGATATGCGCCTACCTTGAAAACCAATATTAACTGTCATGTGCGAAAACTGTACAGTTTCACTGTCTAGCTTGCTACTACATACAGTACAATACAACAACACAATATAAAATGTATACTCTACGTAATATACAGATAATTATACTTTTTTTTTATTATTCTTTGTAGGTATTAAACTATCTCAAGCATCAACTGAAGACTGTGTATGGTACAACAGTAGGAATCGGTTACGAGTTACACGTCTTGTGCAGCGTATGTCATCCCACGCAGCCATCTCATTTACATACTCTTGAGAAATGTTTAGAAAACAATAATGTTTCATGTGGAAAGTATAAAATGAACACATCTCGTTTTAAGGTCCTGTTTCAAGAAGGTTGGTTTATGTTACAACAATGTCTATATTCATTCTCTATTCAGTGTCAGTGTGTTGAACTATCTCTACAAAATATCTTTATTCATTTCTCCCTATTGGTTGAATTTATTCAGTTTCGAAAAACCCCTAATTATTACGCATAATAATTAACTAAAAGATAACAAGAAAAGTGAAAAATATATATTTTTTTAAATACATCTTGCTGGAGTACTTATATTGAAACAACATTAATCAAACAAATAATAATAATAATAATAATAATAATAATAATAATAATAATAATAATAATAATAATAATAATAATAATAGATGGATTTATATAGCGCAAATAAACGAAGTCTCTATGCGCTAGACAATAATGAATTCAAGAACACAAAGAAAAAAGCCGGAAAAAAAAAACACCAAGCTAGCACCCAAGCCGAAGTATGGGGTTACACCATCACCGCCAACCGGAGATCTGTGTTTATGTACTCCGGTTAGCATCGGTTAAGTCTTGATGTTTTCTGGGATCAGGTGCCTCCTAACTTGGAACAAACAACACTAGCTAGCAAGGTGAAACAGAGAAAAAGAAAAAAGAAAAAAAGAAGAAAACAGTAGCTATAAAGAGGCAAATAAAAAGGTTTTGAGTCGCTTTTTAAAGATGTCAATTGACGCAGATTCACGGACTTCAACGGATTAAATATGTAGCCCTATCTGACCATCATTAAATGTACTTAATATATTAAAATGTAAGCACCGATCATTGTACATTTGGGTTGTTGATGTTAGCTAGCTGATGTTCCCCACTCTTCTCCTGTGTAAGACGTGATTCATGTAGAGCAGCTGTTCATCCATAAAGTACTGTTTGACGTAACAGTTTACCATTCCATTTTTAATTTCATGGATTTGAGTTTAGATTTTTCACACTTTGGGTCTCTGTTATCCCTCTGTCTATATTAAACAAAGTCTAAATCTAAATAAATTATCAGTTATTTTTGAAATAAATGAGTAACAACCTATGTGAAATACATATTCTTTATATACTTGTAGATATTCAAGATGCATCCTTGTCTAAGGATCTACCTCATAGGCCCATGTTCACAGATTCCACCCATGGAGAGCGGATGCCAGGTAAATCGGTTGATGTTGTAATTGTAAAATAAGCAGACAACATTGTAAGCCCAAAAAAAAAAAAAAAAAAAAATTCTGAGAGACGCGCTTGGCGTTCCATAGAAATTACCAGCGGCTCAACTTGTCGGCGGCTCAACCGGTCATATCCCCTAGCCATCGCTTTAAAACTGGTACATAGCTAGACGTTTTCGGCTCCGTTACGGTTTTTCTCGGATACACATATTATTTTACGTTTCGAAGCCAAATAAATCTTTCTTTAAACTGATTTATTTTTGTTAAATTTATTTCAGTATACAACTTGGTCAGTATTTACTTGCCATCGTTCTATTGTGGTGCCTACGAGCTAACGAGCCCTTAGGCCTAGGGTCTTCATAATAGGGACTGCAGTTTCAGGCCTGTCCTATTTCATTTTTCCATTTAAGGGCAACACAACATTTTTTTGGCCTAATAAGTGGCTTTGTTCGTAATTATTCTCGCGGATCTTGCAGCATAAAGCAAGGAATTTATTGATTCGTGCACCTCAAGTGACTTACTCAAAATGTAACAATCAACAATTCCATTTTGTCAGCTAAATAATAAAATATTAGTAAAATATTCAGAGAAATACACCAAGTAAGCGTTGTGAAATTGAACTGGGGACAAAATGATCACAACAAAATGATCACAAGTCCAACTGTGCCATTCGCGCTAAATACTCCCTTTGCATTTACATTGACTTGCCCACTTATTTCGTAGCACAGTATTGGTTTAGGGTGTCAACACGTGGTTGTTTTGTATAATGCTACGCAAGCCTGTTTTTGGGCTAGATCGTTATATAAGTAATATTATTAGTAACAATATTACTCTCACCCAAACTTAATGTTTTATGTAAAATGTATAATAACGAGGATCTTTAATATTTCGATTAAGTAGTTAATAACAACACCAAACAAATACATATTTTAATTTTTTTTTAAACAGAGGAGAAAGGATTTATTAGTTTTCATTGTGTATTTAAAGTAGCTGTATATTGTGTTTAGTGGAAACACTGGTTAAATACCATAGTGAGTGCATTTACTTTGGCAAATCTTTAAATATATGAAAAAATATACATTATTTAATCATGGAGGAAATACTATTTCCTCCATGATATAATGCAGATAGAGTACCGTATTAATTTCTAATGTTGTTGTTTTATAGAAACGTCAGGTATGCAGTTCAATGCTCTTAAAATGGTTGTCTCAAACTGGTACGATGAAAACAGATGTCTTAGTATGTTGAAAGTGTTGTTC